GGGGAAGAATTAGGGTTGTTTTTTTCTTTTGGGACAGGGATCATCAGGGATCCTCTCTGATACATCCCTGATCCCGGTGTGCATCCCAACCTCTGCTGCAGTTCAGGTGGGATTGGAAGGGGTACAGTGCAGTGGCTCTGGGCTTTGTGAGGTGACTGTTTCTTCACATAAGTTTGATAAGTGCAGGGATTTGAGTCTCCTGCTCTTTATTTGTTTCACATACACCCTGGGAGGGTTTATTTTTCTAGCGGCCTCTCTCTGCACCCATCGAGCTGTATCATTCATCAGGGATGGGATATTTAGGAAATAGAGTTATTTTTGGAGGGTGGCATCATGGCTTAGAGCAGAAACCAGCATTTCAGAGTAAGCACCAGGTCTCTTTGGCCCTTCTTTTTAGTTATTTAGGCTTATTTTGGGTCTCTGTGGGGCTGTACCTGCCACAGCAGGATCCCAGCAGAGCTCCAGCCTTTTCAGAGGCAGCACCTCCCTCGCAGTGCTGTCCCAGAGGACTGTGGCAGATTGCAAACACACTCAGCACAATCATACCATCCCAATTAGCATAATGATGCTGCCTAATTTATGCACAAATTGCTCTAATTTATGTGTGTCGATACATGTGATTAAGCCGAGCACAGGTGGAACAGGGTTTGGTCTCACCCAGCCAACCAAGCACAGAGCTGTGTCCACCCAGAAACGTGAAGGGTCCAAAATTTCCTCTCCCTGTTACTAAAATACAGAGCTTTTTTTGTGTTGTTTTGCTCTGGCAGCACCAAGGGGCGCAGGGCAGGACTAAACTCGTGGCAGGAGGTAGGAGAATAAAGGATTCCTGGGTTGAGATTTGCATGGATTAAAGGCAGCTTTAATTTGCCTCGATACACTTGGCTTTCAGGTGGATTAACAGGCGGTGGGATTTGGGGCTGTCTAGCCAGCTAATACCTGCCTTCCTTTTATTTTAATTGTTTTAGTAAGGGCTGGAGGAGTCCCGAAACTGGGGGCCACCTTTGCCAGCCGCTGATGTTGAACATTTTTGTGTGTGAGGTTTCATACCGTTAACGTTCCCGATTAACAGAACTGCTGCCGTTGCCTGAATTTCCAAAGCACTTTCTCAGCGGGGTTTCTTCCAAAAGAGACCTCTTAGACTGTGACCCTGTTTTTTATAAAACAAATGGTGTTGCACTGTAAAATTGTTCCAGAGAATCACAGAGTGGCTTGGGTTGGAAGGGACCTTAAAGATCATGACATTCCAACCCCCCTGCAGTGGGCAGGGACACCTTCCACTAGACCAGTTGCTCCAAGCTCCATCCAACCTGGCCTTAAACACAATGAGGTTGATCCAGCATCATAAGAATCACAGAATTGTTTTAAGTTGGAAAAGCCCTCTGAGATCATCAAGTACCACCATTCCCCCAGCACTACCAAGGCCACCACTAACCCATGTCCCCAAGTGACGCATCCATTAAGACTGTTTTCATCCTAAATCCAAAACACTGTACCAGCTACTGGGAAGAAAATGAACTCTATACCAGCCAAAACCAGGGCTGCCTGGTCACAGCCCCAAGACTGTTTGAGTTCAAGAGGCGTTTGGACAACTCTCTCAGGCACATGATGTGATTCTTGGGGAGTCCTGTGCGGGGCCAGGAGTTGGGCTGGATGACCCTGAGGTATCCTTTCCAACTCAGCATGTTCTGTGGGTTCTGTGATTCAGACTGTACTGGAAGACACTTGGCACTGAGTCCAGTGGTCTCTTTCATAACTGAAGCTCTTTCTGAAGCAACTTTCTGTGACAGTATTGTCCAGAAATACCTGGGTGTTGGGTTTCCCAGTGATGCTGGGCTTGGAAAACTGAGGGTTTTGGCTGTAGGGAATGGAAACTCCTTCCTGTATCTCCCATGCCTTCCTTACCTTTGGTGTGCTGTGGCAGCACATGTTCCTACCAGGCTGAATCTCTTTCATCCCAGAACACACAGACAAGACATAATAATTGCAAATTATCACAGTATTCCTGAGGCAGGTGGGTTGCAGGGGACGGATTGCCACAGTCAGGGACTCCACCAGGTACTCAGGATGCTGTGAATTTTTGGGAAGATTATCTGGCAAGAGGATTTTCCTGCTGGCACACCAGGGCACAGTGGGGTTGGGGCGAGGTAGATGAGGGGGAAAGGCTTGTGCTGGGCCCAGTGTGGGACACCCCTCAGCTCTGGGCTGCATCTGCTCTTTGGTGCTTCCTCTCGTGGCTGATTTCTGAGAACAGATGTGGATGTAAGACGCTCTTGCAGGGATGTTCAGCAGGAGACGTTTCTGCTCTGACATCCCCGAGCGCCCGCCCGCGCCGCGCTCCTCACCTGCCACAGGCAGGGAGGGTTATGAGTCACCAGTTCCCCTCTTCTCCTGCTACTGATCTGTTTGTACAGCCATCTGAGCACACAGCCTGCTCCACACCCCGTTCAGACGGGTGCCGCTGACATTTACAAGCTCTCCTTGTCTTCCTCCTGTCTTTGCATCGGCTGGGGTTTGTCGTCTTCCAGCGCGGGGTTTTTCTTTCGGCGGGATCTTGTCCTTGTCCTGCGAGGGGGCCTTGAGCGAGCGCTGCTCGTGTCTTGCTCCAGGCTCTGGGAAAACTCGGGTTCGTTGCTGATTCCCTTTGAACTCTCAGATGATGCTGGTAACAGCAGGGAAGCTGGAGAAGAGGAGGCTCTGGGGAGACCTTCCAGCCCCTTTCAGGGCATGAAGGGGCTCCAGGAGAGCTGGAGGGGGACTTTGGACAAGGGATGGAGGGGCAGGACAAGGGGGAATGGCTTCTCACTACCAGAGGGCAGGGTTAGATGGGATACTGGGAAGAAATTCTTCCCTGTGAGGGTGGGCAGGCCCTGGCCCAGGTTGCCCAGAGAAGCTATGGCTACCCCTGGATCCCTGGAAGTTTCCAAGTCCAGGTTGGACGGGGCTTGGAGCAACCTGGGCTAGTGGAAGGTGTCCCTGCCCATGGCAGGGGGTTGGAATGAGATGATCTTTAAGGTCCCTTTGAACCCAAACCGTTCTGGGATTCCATGGTTCCGTAAAGGGGAGCCCTTCCTTTCATCATCACAGCTTCCTGAAGCTGGAGGTGAATGCAAACTCTTCCAGCTTCTCCTGACTTGGCACCATCCAGGGCTGCATTTGGAATCTGTCAGGTTTGTGAATGAAGGAATAAATTGACCGTGAAAGTATTATCAGCACAGTTATTTATACCAGCTTCCTGATTTGGTGCCTTAGAATTTACCCCTTTGCTTAAGTGTGTGGAGCTAACCAAGGCATGGAAGGACCTCACCCCCATGGCACAAGGAGGAGAGGACAGACAGCCCTCAGAACCCTCCTCCCCAGGACAGCAGCATTCCTGGGAGCTGTTGGGAAATGCTGGATCGTAAGGAAGAAAAGGCAGGTGATACAGGGAGACCAGCGAGTTCGGAACATTTGGGGGTTGCTTGCCAGAGACAAGAGAAAGCAGATGCCTCATCTGCTCTCCAGTTCCCTTAAAACAGAAATATCGGGAAAGTAACCCAGCTCTCCTCCTCCCTGCCAGATTCAATGTCTTTTAATCTGCTCTCTCTCTCTCTCTCATCTTCTCTTACAATGGGGAGTTGCTGGTGGTCTGCTGGGGTTAAGCAGTGATTCTGGCAGACTTCAGAGCAGACGTGATCTCCAGGTCCCGTTGCTTTGAAGCCCCTGGTTCTGTTGCACTCGACTAAATCAGATTCCTTCTTCTCCGTGGAGGTAAAAAATCAGCCCTGTGAGCCCATCTGATTGAAGTGCTGAGGCTTGTCTAATTGAACAAGCGCTCGAGTCAACACTTGAGCAGGATGAAAAACAACAAGGAGATCACCCAGGGATTATGTCTGAGCTCCACAGCTCCTGGCACCGCCGGAGCAGATGGCTGGGTCACATCCTGCTCAAGGCTGGGCAGAAGAGATGTCGAGAGGAAAAAAAAAAATATTAATTTGGTGAAATATATTCAACTCGAAATCCAGAAGTGCCTCGGGTCTCTAATTTTGTACTTTGCAGCAGCAGCCCAGAAGATGGGATTAGCTGGGGGTTGGCTCTGCAGATTCCTGCGAGGAGCCTGCTGCTACCTCAGAGTTGGTGTGGGTAAAAAAAGGCTTTGGGATGGGGAACAGAGGCGCAGGGAGTGGAAATGGCTTGGCTGGTGGTGTAAAAATGGGGAACAACCAGGAGCAGTTTGGGCATGGTGAGTGAACCGTGAGCCCCTGCAGTGCTGATGCACTGATGGAACCAGGAGAGCTGGTGGGGAGGGAGGTGCTTTGTGCAGGTCTGAGAACATCCCAAACATCCCTGAAGGTCACCTGAGCTGCAGGGACAAGCTTCAGCCTCTTCCCTTTAGGATCACACTTGATCCTACAGCCAAAGTCTGTATCCAGGGCCATTTGGGTTTGGGGAAGCCACTGGTAACTGTCTCATTGGTAGGTGGCCATCAGAAGTCCTGGTGACCATCAGGCAGCTTTCTATTCCCTTCCATTTGGGAGATGGGGTGGGAATAAATAAGCACAGACAGAACTGCTTTTCCAGATACCCAGATTTCTGGTGTTTGGGGAAATACACCCTCAGAGGAGCCTGAGGTGATTGTGGTGCCTTCACTGTGATAGAAATGACCTATTTCCTCTAGCTGTGGACCCTCTAAAACTTTATTTTCCTTATCCCCAAACAGCAGATCAGCATCAGGCTGATCTGGGAAGATCAGAATCTCCTCATCCATAACTTCTGCTGCTGCCCTGGAATTCCCTCCCACCACCTCTGCCCAAAAGCACTTTTAACCCTGGAAGCTCACAACTTTGCTTTCTGTGTTTAAAACTTACTTTCATTTTTTTTCATTAAAAGCTGCATTTTGCACTCGGTAAAATGAAGCAGAATCACCTTTCTGGCAGCAGTAAAAATGCATCTTTTTCCAAGATGATGCTTAATTTTAACTCTTCGGTTTTAAAAGCTTTGTTTGTTTGTCTGTTTGTTTCCAGGGGGCACCACTGGAAGAACCTTTATGGGCTCCTGATGACATGCAGGTGGACGATTGACTTATGATATTTAAGGTAGGAAGAAGTGCTGTTAATTTTGGCATCTTCTCGTTTGTCCTGTCCTTGAAATAAAATCGTGCTGGCCGGTGGCCCAGCGGTCGTCGCTCTATTTTAGGGTTCAGTACACAACCATGGCACTGTGGCCACGCATTCACTTGTGCTGAAGTGTCCCTTTAAACACAGAGGGAAGGGAAATCTTATTTAAGAACTACCTGGGAATGTAACTAAGTGGAAAAAATCTGACTTCCTCCCCCAAAGGATAATAAGGTCTCTGTTGGTGTGGAGTTGGAAGGGACATGACTCTTATTTGGGAGCACTCAGCACAGGGATTTTTTTGTTCTGCTGAAACCCAGTGGTTGAGCTGGAATTCAGGTTTTAACTTGCCATCTCAAAAAAAAAAAAAAAAAAAAACTAACTAACTAAAAATATATTTTATTCGTTTATTTTTCATCATCTTGAGCTTCTGTGGAAAGCTGGTCCATCTCCAAATGTGGCAAGAGAGCTCCTGATTCTTGACTGATGAAACAGAGGAAAATCCCCGATGTTAAAAGCACTAAACAATTGGGCAAACTTGGAAAAGGAAATGCAAATGTGTGCAGAGTTAAATGGATCTATAAGTAGGTTTTATGCTGCTTTAATGTCTGGATTCTTGCCTTGCTGGGTCATTTTTGCCATGGTTGTTGTGTTTGGAGGCATCATCAGGGCGATGTGGTGGTCACTGCTGGTCCCTGCCTCCTCTTGCAGTAGCAAGGGGGGTCTTCACCTCTTTAGGGGTCACCACAGAGACTCCCAAATGTGACACAGGCTTTGCTTCCTCTCACAGTTGGGGTTTTGCATTTCTGATTAACGGGTGCAATTAATGGCTGGTTGGTGCTTGGTGTCGGCGGAGAGTTGTTGGAAGGAGAGGGGGAAATTCAAGCTGTAACAAGAGCAAATTCTTTTAATGCAGGTTCACAGTTCTCCAGTGTATTCCTACCTTTTGTTTGGCTTGTGATAAGATGCGCTCCTGTGGAATTTGCTTGGAGCAGGGATTTGCATGAATTATTGTTTCTTACAAAATGCACATCTGTGCGAGCCTTCTCCCCGTGCTCCGCAGTACCCGAGCACCCCTTCAGAGAAGGATCTGTGGTGCAGTGGTCAGCAAAAGCTGGCTGTTTGAGGGAAGGAAAGATGGAGTGATGGAAACAAAGCTGCTGAAACCAAGGGAACAACATCAGGATTTGTGTGTTTACTCTGTGCGCTGATTTCTTTCCCCCGTCCCAGTGCGATTTTCTGAAAGCAGCATCCTCCTCTTAGGAAAAACTTGGAATGATTGTGCTTGGCCTCGTGCAGAGCTCACTTTTACGTTTAGGAAGTGTAAAGTCATCAGTTGCAGCTGCTGATTGATACAGTGTGGCCCAAAATTATGTACAAGATGGGAGTAAACAGCCATTGTGGATGGTCTCTTAATTCTGCACTTAAAGCTTTTCATTTGAAGGGTTTCCCCTTCTCCTATAGAGAGCTTTCTGTAAATCTCTAATTAAGCAAATGAGCTACAGTGTCATCAGTCTGTCTGCAAAAAAAAAAAAAAAAAAAAAAGCAAGAGCTGATGTTTTGGAGAAACTTCCAGGCTACAGACTCAAATTATCCAATATTTAAAATTATGGTGTTTTGTAGGAAGAGGAAGAGCAAGGAAAGAATGACTTGAAGTTTGGGTGACTTCAAACCAGGTTTCATGTACAAAGTCAAGCTCTTTATTTTACTCTAAATTCTGCAATGACTCTAAACCTGGCACCCTCACTTAAAATTTGACTAAACCTGATGGCGTTAAATAATCTGCTTGTAATTCTTTATCTTCTCCTTGTAGACAGGAGAGAAGGTTACAGTAAATATGTCGGGGTGTTCGTCTAAAATACTTTGTGTGAGGGATTTATTTTCTCAAAAATTGGCTTTGATGGGGAAAACTGGGAGAGTTTCTTTATTTACTGAGGTAAATCCCCCTGGCACAGAGCATCAGGGGCAGGTGTGAGCAGTGGGGCAGGTGGAGCATCTGTGGTCCCACCGTTCCTGGGAGCGGTCCCGGGTCAGGAAAAGCAATTGGAGCGAAGTGCACCATGAGGTGGAGATGTGGCATTGTATGGATCTATCTGTGAGTATGTGAAACAACTGCCAGAGCTACTCAAAAGGGCAGAAACCATCCAGGTGTGGAGGGGACAGTCCCTGATACCAGTGCAGTGCTGAGTGGCGGGTTTTCGAGAGGGCGAGCGCTAAACCCACACATGTTATTTCCACAAAGCCCATCCAAAGCCATTCACTATCTTTGCACCGTCCATATCCTTCCCTGTGCCTCCTCCAGCTGTGTTGCCTCTTCTGGGAGCTGGCAGCCGAGCTGACATGCCCTGTGGATTAGCAGAAGAGCTCGACACGTGTGGTTTCCCTCACCGGTTCCAGCAGCGCCCGTCACCGAGCTGTTGTTTTCGGTGCTACCCACAATAACTGAAATATCTTTCCTGCGAGATAAGTCAGTAATTGTGGTTGGCTCCTTCCTCTGGTATGTGTTCCCGTAGTAACTTGAAATTTAATTTGTCATCGGGGTGCTCCTGCTGTGCAGCTCCAGCCCCTCCAGCTGAACCCTCCGGCGGGGAGGCACCGGCTGCCAACAGACCCTGCGCCCCTTCCCTTAAGGATTGCTCTTCCAAAAAAGTGCCACAGCTTGATCTTCTCCCTGAGCAGACTGCAGGAGATGTGAGAGGAGGTGGTGGCTCAGGGCTCATCCCAGTCCTGCACTGGTTCATCCTTCTGGCTTTTGCTTTGGGTGGTGGCCAAGCCCATTTCCCCCCACTCAGTAGGTTTGTTCTGGTAGTTTCGGTCAAAGCCACCAACATCTGCAGCCCTTCTCAAACCTCTAAAGACTGCTCTCACGTTTTGGGACTTGTGGATGTGCAGGCTGACCCTTGGAGTGTGTTTTGGAAACACAGAGGCTGCTGAGACCAGGAATCCCAAATGACCAGTGGGATTCTAAATCCCACCAGCGCTTCTCCCCGCCTCTTTCCTTTGAAGCTTCAAGCCTCCACGTGGAACTTGACGTCACTGAGGTGAGCTGACCTGGCCTGCTGCATCCTAAAAATACCCTGGGATTTGTAGGAAGTGTTGCACACAGCGCCATCAGTACCCAGCACACACCTACCCAGTGCTGGGAGCTGTCTGTGGAATGGGGATTGGAAGGAGAAAAACCTTGCAGGAACCACACCAGGCAGCGTGTCGGGACCTGCAGCCCCTACCTGGAGCTGCTGGGTATAAATAAACACATCCACCCTCCATCTTATCCTGACAACTACCTCCCTGAAGAGTAATTTATTTTCTTTTTTTTCCCCAGTAGCTTGTTCTGCAAGCAGGTTTCCTCTTGCAGGTGATTAGGAAAACCTCATTTTTATGTTAATTAGGCGTAACTATCAGTGCACAGACATCAACTGCTCTCACATCCTCCTGAGGACGTGTTGTTTTTATTGAAATTCAGTCCTGAAAAACCGATACCAGCAACTGATGTACCTGTTGCCTGAATCAGATGGGAAACTGCACCCAATTGGTGGTTGCCTCAAAAATAACGTTGCCAGGGCGTAGCAACCACAGCTTCAGCTTTCAGGAGGGCTGCAGCTGCGGTCTGCAGCCTGGGTTCAGGTTTTGAGTGATGTTTGGTTGCTGAGTTGAAGGGCTTCCTCAGTATCTTGTCTCCACCGAGACCAAGCCGTGCTAATTTAGCTAATTACAGCTAAACACGGTTACTGCTGATGCGGGTGGGCCTGAATCTATAGAGGCAGTTCTTTCTCACGTTGGTGCCTTCAAACACATCTCTGATTATGTTTGGTCCCGTGAAAGGGTTGAGTTGATCCCCATCATCCATAAAATAGATCCTTCAGTTTTGGCAGATGTCATATTGGCTGCCCCTGGATCCCTGGAAGTGTCCAAGGCCAGGTTGGACGGGGCTTGGAGCAACCTGGTGCAGTGGAAGGTGTCCCTGCCCATGGCAGTGGGGTGGGACTAGATGGTCTTTAAGGTCCCTTCTAACAGAGAAGAGGAGGAATTTAAATCAGACATGCTTTGGGTTTGTGGGTAAAACACAGGTGCAGCTGCTTTAGTGACATCTTTTTCACGGTATCAGACACAGAGGACACTGAAGCTTGCAGGGCTAGAGGGGAGCATCTTGGTCCCAGCTGATATAAACTAAAAGCCACGAAGTTATGGAAGTGTACCTGATAGATTTCTTGCCCCAAGACCCTACCACATCTAGGTTTCAGGAATACATTCAGTCAGTCAGGTCCAGGTCAGCAATGGGATTAGCCAGGTCAGTGGTTACTAACACCATTAACCTCCCCTATCTCCTTCTGCAGGACTCAGTTCTCGTGGTGTCATTTAAGGATTTTGTAATCCAAGTCCTTGAGGTTCCTTGCTGAAAGCTAAAACAAATATATCCGCCTTATCAGGTCTTTCCAAGAGCGAAGCATGGAAATCCCCTGTCAGGGCTGGCACCGCCACCGGTGTTTTCCTCCCTCTCCTCCAGTGACTTTTCCTTTAATATCGCCATCCGAACCTTCCGTGGATTATGCAGTGATTGAAAACAAAGGGTGAAAAATTGCAGCTGGGGGTTTGGCAAGTGACCCGTGGACCTCTCACAGCTCTGACTGGAGGGATCCGTCTTGCTTTTGTTGTACGCGTGGACGATCCCCTCGTGGTGCGGAACCGCCGGTGCTTGGCCAGGGACCTGTTCCCTTTTCACACAGGGTCGCTCTGAGGGCAAACAGATATTTGGGTTGGGTTTGTTGTTTTTTTTGTTGTTGTTTTTTTTTGTTTTTTTTCTATGGGGAGGTAAGGCAGGCTGGAATATTTGATGACCCTCTGAGGTTTTCCAGGTGCTGCGATTCTTTACCTGCGGCGGGCGCGTTTTATGGGAAGTGATGTCCGGTGGCAGGGGGAACGGCTGCAGTCGGGGAGAAACGGGCAAGCTTTTGATGCGTAAATCCTCCAGTTCTGACACAAAATGTGCTGTCA